AAAGAAAGGAAACGAGAAAAAGTGGTCTTAGTAATTCTTGTTTTTCATGGAATTCTCTTCCATGAAACTATGCTTGAGTAGCATGTATAGGAGACGTTATTTCAGATCGGGCAGGGAGGGGGGCTGTTTAAAAAGTGATCTCGGGACTAGTAGGAAACTCTCTGAAAGAGTATAAAATTGGAGCTTTACATCTTTACCTCACTTTAATAAAGCCCACGTCAAGTAAGGTCATGGATGGAACCATCAAAGCCCTAGAGGAAAATATGGGCACTCGAGTCTGCAGAGCTGCGTCGGGGAAGGACTTGAAGCATAACGTTTGTCGACCGTGAAAGCCAGAAAGGAGATTTGTATGTTTGACTACAGAAACTTCTGTGTATAAAAAGTGCCGTAAGATCACACTGAATAGCAAAGAGCAAAGTGGAAGATGTTTCTACAACATAGGTGGCCAGCGAAACTGTGGGTGTCTTTAATTCAAGCACAACTTGTACGGGTCAGCAAGAAAAAGACGAGAAAGGTGACAGAATTGGCAAGGGTCGCGTGAGCAGATGCGTTACAGCAGAGCGCGACCGCCCGGTCACACTGAACAGATTCGCCAGCCCTGGACGCCAAAGGCCTGGAGTAAAAGGAAAAGGCCTTCCCCGTTTGCCCGTGGCGCTGGCGAGGGAGGGGAGCCACGGGCGTCTGCTGGGCCCAGGGAGACCGCGGCCACACGTGGCTCACTCACATGTCTGAGGCCACGAGTCTGAGAGGCGCGTCAGAGCTCTGCGGGCAGCGGCCTCCCTGCTGGAGCCTCGTGCCGGGAGACGGTCCCCGGTCTAGCGGGGCCGCGTGGTGCCCGCCTCGGGGCACAGGTGCCGCCCGACACGGCATCATATGGTCCATCTTCTTACTTCCGTAAGAATGAGCAAGAGGGAGACCGAGTGCTCCCCTTCGGGATGGCAGACCTGGAGCTAATACGACCAGGACGCCGCGGCCACGAAGGCAGGAAAGCCGAGGGGGGACGTAGGGTGAGACTAGGGCCAGCAAGGCCAGCGGCGGGGCTTCGCGAGCTGCTGAGGCCCGGCGTGCGAGGAGAGCGAGGCCGGGCGTGGGGCTTACGTCCCTTCCTCCCTTCTTGTAATGCGGCCTGTTCCCAGAGGAGGGCTTTCCGGGTCCGCCAGCACCCGGCCCCTCTCCCAGCCCAAACTCAGAACTCTGAGCCCTTATAAGAATTCTTGTGTTGCCCAGACATTCACACCCCTGGGCCCGGACACCGGAGAGCAGTAAGGTTTCCTCTGGCAACACAGGAGGGGCTCAGGAAACAGAGGGCACAGGTGACATCACGGTTTCCGCGATGCCGTGGGGAAGGCGGACGCTGTTGAGCGAACAAAACCACAAAACGGCGTGTTCTCCGTGGTTCTATTTATTTCTTAAAGTGGGTGTCAGTATACAATAGGAAGTGTTTACTGGGAGTTACCTCTTGGTGGTGGAATCTCTGGTTCTTTTTTTCTTTGTGTTACACAGATGTTTTTCTTACAAATTGGTGATAAGAAAAAACAAAACTTAGCGAAAGATGAGCGGGCTCTGCATGAACGAAGTTCACCAGCGTGAACCCTCATCCGTAGTAATATTTACAGAAAAAGCCCATCTTTCCCTGTTGACTGCCCTCCTTTTAGGAAGCGAGCACCGCAGTCGCTCAGCGGCTGTCTCGCTCCGGGCGTGCTCGGTCCCCCCGCTGCTGGAGAACTCGGCCAGCGCTCTCCACCTGCGCTGTGTTCCCGAGCCGCCGCTACTGGGGACCCCGCACCGCCGTGCCGAGTGAAGACCTCACCTGTTCCCACCCTCTGCCCACCCACTCGTGTGTGTGTGTGTGTGTGTGTGTGTGTGTGTGTGTGTGGCGGGAAACCAGGCCCTGCCCTTGACTGCTGTGCCCGTGCCTGTCCCCTGCGGTCCACTGTGCAGACACATCTATCCCTCGGGGCCGCTCTGAGCCTTCCCGTCCCTCGAGCCCCGGAGCCTCCTGTGGCTAAGCCGCCACCTTCTGCCTGGCACAGCAGTCCCACGGGCTGTGCTGGCTGAGTGCTTCTCGGCCCTTGGCGTCTAGAATGTGCCGCATAGGAGACGCGGGTCCCCAGTGCCTTCGTCGTCTGGCATTATCGCAGAATAAAGGATAAAACAGAATAAACTTCCCGCATAACCTGTTGAGTTTCAAACCGTTCCAAGAGGAGACTCTTCTAACACATGATCGGTATCTCCCTAGCTTGTGAACTCCTGTATCGGGGCATTTGGCATTTTCCTAGAGGCAGATGGGTTCCAGGGGGGTGGGGGCTGGGGAAGGTCAGGGCTCTGCCCTCCTCCAACCTGACTCTGCGACCCTGGGAGAGTAACTTCCATCCCTGAGCCCAGTTTTCCCCTCTCGGCCGTGCACCAGTGATTGTGTCTGACCCACCTCAGCAAGGCAGGGTCCCTGGAGGGAGAGCCTGGACCCCAGACCGACGTCCTCCCTCCCCCAGGACAGAAAACTCACGGGGGAAGAGGAGCTGCCTCCAAAGAAGGTCACACGGTGCCAGGTGGCTATGAAGACCCAGGTGGCGGAGAAGTCCTGGAGCTCGGGGAAGTAGCGCCTGACGTCCTCTGTGGCTCTGTGCAGCGTGGCAGGGTCAGTGGCCTCCCTGTAGTACACATCACCTGCACGCCGATTGTCCACGTCTGCCCAGAAGGCTGCCACCACGCAGCGGTCCTTGGCGATGGGGAAGGCCGCGGGGGTGAACTGAGAGACCTCCTTCAGGAAGGAGACGACTCCGTTATTGTTCACCTGTCAGGAAGCCAGACGGGGGGCCAGTGGGCACCTGGGGACAGGTGGGTGGGCCCGGCGGCCTCCCCTGCCTCACCCGCCAGGCGCCCTCCAAGGGGGAGCCGGCCTTGAACCGGGCAACCCTAGGACGGCCTGACAGTTCCTGGTCCCTGATATGGGACCCCTCGGCCCGTCCCATCCCCTTGCGGACAGGCTGTGCGCTCAGGCACAGACTCTGACCTGTTTGCTCTACCTGATGCGCCGCACGGCGCCCAGACCTGGGCTGCTGCTGTGGGGTCAGGGAGCTCCCGCTGTGGGCCCTGGCCTTGGGCAATTGGGGCGCTCAGGGTCCTGGGTCCCACTCTAACCAGGCACCTTGGGAGGCGCAGTAGGCTGCCAGCCTTGGATCCAGGTGCGGACAGGTGAGCTGGAGCCACGTGAGGTGGGCTGAGGGGAGGCCGGAAAGGCCTGGATGTCTGGTTGGTGGGGAGGGTCTGTGCTCAGGACTCCAGACAGTAGGGAGCTGCAGAAGGCTCCTGAGCAGAAGGGGGGGTGGGGGGCGGCAGGCAGCGTCTGTGCGGTAA